AAAGTTTCCGGAGTAAAGTTCAGCATTTTTAAAACTTTAAAATACACTAAAAAGAAATATGCTTTGTGGGTCATTTAAAATGATACAAAAGGAATGAGCATATTTTGACGGAGACGAAAAGTTTAACATTGATTAATGTAGAAAAGCTGTCTTGTTCCGAGTATAATCTCCTTGTACCAGAGAAAGTGTCACCGTTTGATTTTTTAAATAAAAATTGTAATTGGTTTTATATTGCAGAAAATAGACCAAGATCTGTTAGCAGTAATGGAACAGTTCGGTGTTAAACAGCAGAAATATATCCAAGCCAACATGAAAGAAAAAATTCAGAAGGAAGAATTATTCAGAAAAATAAGTTTTTCTTTGAGATTTCTACTTACATTGTTTTGTTCAATCTATAATGGAATTTTTACTGAATTAGAAGCATTGTTTTTAAAATAATTGCTCCTTTAAACTAATGACTAACAAGCCTTTTTACGAAAAAGAATGTGTTGCTGATGTAATTTCAAAGTTTCGTGCTTGGGAAAAAAATTATTTGAGATGGGAAATTTTGCTCAATTTTTAACAAAATGTCAACGTTTAGGAAAATGGTAACTGGTTCTTCTAAGTATTCTGTTTTTCCAATCTTACTGAAATAGTTATGCTGAATATATTCGACGATATTAGAATTGTAAGAAGGAAACTCATTCTCTAATTATTCATCTTCCAAATATTAAATAGTATACGAAGTTATCGAACAATAGCTGCTAACATTAAGGAATGTTCTCGATATATGTGAATTTTTTACAATTTCAGTGCAAATTTTCCCAACCTCCACTCAGTAACTTTATCGCCTTAGCAAACCCCTCTCTAAAATTCACAAAAGATTCGGATGAAACGCTTGAATTTGCTGTGATGCCAAATTTTGATGCTGCAGATAAAAATGTTGCCAAAATTATATACAACAACATTTTTGGTAGGACTACTAACAGCAGTTATTTGGTTCCATTCAGAATGGTGGGATCTCAAAATACTCAGATACTGCATCAAAATTCTGCGCTAAAAACTTCAATTTCGATGAGTAATATTTTGAAAAATATGTGCACAAAATGGTAGTCATTATCATTATTGCATTAGCATTTATTGATCAATATCAATTTTACAAATAGTGGGGAGTTAAAAAGCACGGAATTTAAAGCTGAAGTGACTTTTCATCAGATAATAAAAACACTAATTAATATAAATTTTAATCGAAGTATTTATTTTCACGTTTTCCAGTTCTGATAACAATTCTCAAGTGAACATCGAAAGGTTTTGCATAGCGTTTTAAAGCATCGCTCAACCAATAATTGATCACTCCGTTGTTTTTCAATGTTTCAATTATAGAAATGGAAGTCAAGTGGATTTTAAATGTCCTATATGTACCATGAATACCAGAAGTTCCACACATAAAAACTCCAGTAATTCCAAGAACAAGTTTGATGCAATGAAAACCACCAACACCACCAGCACCACCAGTACCAAAAACACTGTTCTGCCACACTCGTTACTGAAGAAGGAGTTGGTAATGAACGTACTGTTGTAGTTGACAGGATACGTTTAACAGAAGTAGTTCTCGTTTTTAAAGTTGTGCTCTGTGTTGTAGATGTTGATGAGCTACCCTTCAGCAACTGTAATAATGCATTGTTAATGTGAAAATGACGGAAATATGGGAATCTATTTAGAAAATAGAGCATAAGAGATAAAATTTTCATCCTTTTCTGTGTGTTGATGAGAACAATGAGAGTAATTTTTGAAAAATTTTTGAATTTGAAGTTTTGTTGAACCTGTTTTTTGTTTGTGATATCCATGAAAGTGACAATAGTAAATTAAGTCTAACAGTTGGGTAAATATTGGAAACCAATGGAAATGTATCATTTCATTCGATGAATACTTCAGATCAGATCAATTTCAGTCTTTCCATATGCTTTCGTTTATTGTTCGATCAGGTGATCTTACCTAATCTAATGAGAGTGATATAACTCAGAGAGACGTGAAATTAACGAGAAAAAAGAAAAAAAATATTGGAGTCAATTTTTCTTTTTCCACAAAAAGGATTCAAGCTACCTTGAAGGTATACTATCCTATTACACATATAAACTGATTGATAGAATTTT